GCGCTGTCGATTTATTTTACAACAGACGCGACAGCGGAATCTATACATCTCAATTCTCCAGCTGCAGTCATCTTCGACAAGCGCTCTTTGATAACATGATGATTACGTCCATGCAGATCATCTGTCCATCATCGTATAAAGCCCGCCCTGGCAATTTGATTGGCCCGATCATTTTTTGCCAGATCATAATTTCTCCTCAATGGATCGAGTCCAGACCGAACTTCCCGACCAAAAAATATTGTGGGCGGAGTTCGGGCTGGCATCCAGGCTAGCTACCTCATGGAACTGCTGGCTAGCCAAATAAAACATAACTACCGGCCAGCAGCCCCTCGTGGACGCCTGCTGGTTTACCACAAGAAAATGTAAAATACAAACAAAAGCAGGCCTGTTCCTCTCTTGATCATCCACTCCGTCGCTTCCCTTTTACGCTTCCGCTCCTCCGTGAGAGATGCGAGACCGGTGTGCTCGCGACTTCCTCTCACGTCCCTCGGCCGTCCACAGTAATCATGTACATTTTATCTTTAAACAAAAGGATAAATCTGCTCTTTTGCTTACATGTGTCTTTATTTATTGAACATAATACATCTGAACATTGATGAATTCATTAAACAAATGTGTAAAAAAACAGCTTTATAAACATTTCTGTTGTCTGTTATGTGTAGTAACATTTTTGTATTTACAAATGAAAAAAAATAGATAAAAAATAGTTTGAGTTTTTTTTGAACAAGTTTTGTTTGTTGAAATGTAAATGTAATGTGTAAATCAAAATTGTTTATAAGTATGTAATGTAGTGTGTGTACAAGCTGTTAGACTGCTTTGTGTTTTTTTTCTTTTCGATGTTCTCGTGTGTAGACTTTAGTGTTGACCGGGTAATTGTCTGTTCAGTGGCTGGAATGTGTGACTGATTGTCAGATGTTTGTGGGACTTAAAGGGCATATTGCAGGTTAGAGGACCCAACGAGTCAATGCATAGAAAAACAATGTAGGAACTAGATTTTCTTTAAAATATACGTATAAACACGCCACAGAAGCTTCTGCAGTCGTTTTTGTGAGAAAATTTTACTTCCGCGTCTGAAAATGGGCGTGGCGGGCGTGACGCAATGAGCGGGAGAGCGGTCGATTCACACAACAGGAAAACAATGAATCGCATGACATTTCGGACGCTGAGGAAATACTCGTATGACGGATCAAGCCATAAAGTTATGAGCCTGCTATGCTAAAGAGATCAGGGACAGGCCAGGATAATGTCAGACAGAATGGTCAGAGAAAAATTGAGCTGTGATGTGAGGAGAACCAGTGGAGAACAGGACAGGTGCCTTTTAGGTGAGAGACGTGCTTATAGTATACACGTTCGCTAACGATATACACTGTGCTCACAATATTGTACAGATTATTATGATCCTATAACAGGCCAGCAGACATTAGTATGTTTAGGGTAGATTTATATACTATTAAATGTATAAAAAACTTTACTTGAGTATATTTCTATAGGCTACTAAAAGCATAGGCTATACTCGGGTAAATTTTTAATACATATTTTTCACCTTGGTTATAACATAAACAGAACATTAAAGGTTTGAGTATTTAAACAACCAATTTTGTTTTTCAATTACAAGTTTTATTTAGGGCATGACATGACTAAGTTACCTATATAACACTATTTGATGCCATTGGTAGCATACGACGATCAATATGCTTCGGCATACCATGTTGAACTCCATCATATTGCCGGGATGCTAATCATTTGATCTGAAGTGAACGCTACACACGACCGCGTTTACCGAGCCGATGCAGAAGAGAAATCCCGTCTCTTCACCTGCTCAAACCGCACCAGGAACGAAAGATAGGCTATATAGCACAGTCACTTTTATTGTAATGGAAACTTGTGGACTCGATCTTGAAGTCCTGACAGGCTGGAGTTTTTGCAATCTCCACAAACACAATATTTACCATGACGATGATAAATTAAAATGCAAAAACTAACGAAAGCACACTGACTGACGAGCGCTCTCACTGAACACCAGCCTGCTCTCACTGAGCCAAGGCTGCGGCTCCCTGATATGACGTCAAATGACGCGACGTTGAAAAAAAAGCCGTTTTTACTAGCAGTCCAAGAAACGCTCACTTTATCTTCTAAATTAGTGTCCTTATGTTGTTTTAAAACATTTTAAATCCTGCATTAACTTTTCATATGGTATTTTCATACAAGGTTATCTATAAATTTCGATTTTTTTTTTACCTGCAATATGCTCTTTAATGATAGGCCATCATCTGTAGATTGTAGGAGGGGGATACATATTTTGGCAGGTCGAAATACGGACTGAAAAAATCTGTATCCCACTATAACTTTTGTGAGGAAACAAGAAATGTGTTCATATTCACTGCTGTTATTAGACATGATGTACAGTATTCACAAAATAAAACACTTGATAGGCCATCATCTGTAGATTTTAGGGGGGGGGGGGATACATATTTTGGCAGGTCGAAAATACAGTCTGAAAAAATCTGTATCCCACTATAACTTTTGTCAGGAAAAAAGAAATGTGTTCATATTCACTTCTGTTAGAACAATTTTATATCCACAGGCTGTTTGAACGATATGGTCGTCTTAGTTTTTCAGTAACTTTAGACATTCTCGTGAGAATTTTTCCATTCCGTGCATGAAGCTCGATCGTTTGCCCACAGAAGAATAAAATAATTTGTTTGTGATGGGCCACGTGATATCTGTCTTTGCTAAACCTCGTCGATTAAAAAAAAACAACAACAGTAAAACGATAACTTAAACAATTCACGTGTTATAGTTTAATTCACCTTGGACAAAGCAATGACGCACCTCCTGCTGAATGCGAGCGCGCTCCCGCGACCGGGGATACACTTTCTATCAGGGGTAAGTACCTTGGCACGACACCGGCAAACGGTGACAACGGAGAAAAGACAATGGATCAGACAGATGAAGCGCATTCCACACGCCCGAAATTAGTTAATAAAGAGATGAGTAGGAGTGAAATATGGCATTACTTTGCATACAAAAGTAATGATAAAGGTGAAGCAACAGACCTAAATGGGACATTCTAAAACGCTTAACGTGAAAAACGCTTAACGTGGCTTACTGTACTAAGACAGTGATATTAAAAGACCAAATTCAGTACACATCATATTAATAAACCATACTATGTATAAAAAAAATAAGATGAGTCCAGAATATCAACACAACGCGATTAATAACACGTTAAGCATTTTCTTCCCATACAAAACCGTTATGAGAAAACGCTTAACGTGGCTTACTGTACCAAGACAGTGATATTAAAAGACCAAATTCAGTACACATCATATTAATAAACCATACTATGTATAAAAAAATAAGATGAGTCCAGGATATCAACGCAACACGATTAATAACACGTTAAGCATTTTCTTCCCATACAAAACCGTTATGAGAAAACGCTTAACGTGGCTTACTGTACCAAGACAGTGATATTAAAAGACCAAATTCAGTACACATCATATTAATAAACCATACTATGTATAAAAAAATAAGATGAGTCCAGGATATCAACGCAACACGATTAATAACACGTTAAGCATTTTCTTCCCATTGAAACCGTCATGAGAAAACGCTTAACGTGGCTTACTGTACCAAGACAGTGATATTAAAAGACCAAATTCAGTACACATCATATTAATAAACCATACTATGTATAAAAAAATAAGATGAGTCCAGGATATCAACGCAACACGATTAATAACACGTTAAGCATTTTCTTCCCATTGAAACCGTCATGAGAAAACGCTTAACGTGGCTTACTGTACCAAGACAGTGATATTAAAAGACCAAATTTAGTACACATCATATTAATAAACCATACTATGTATAAAAAAATAAGATGAGTCCAAGATATCAACGCAACGCGATTAATAACACGTTAAGCATTTTCTTCCCATTGAAACCGTCATGAGAAAATGCTTAACGTGGCTTACTGTACTAAGACAGTGATATTAAAAGACAGATATAGAAAATTTGATGTGGCTGGACACCCATTGATGTGTAGGCCTATAAGCAAGACAGAGTTAAAGCAATGAGCTAAATTTCTCATTAAGCGTTTTCACAAGCGTTAATAATGCACAAAATAGATTCAGGATTTTTTTTATTATGCTTACAAACAAACAAAGATGACAATCATATCATACAATTCTGTTACAAAATTGCAAACATATCTGTACAAAATATGACAAGAATATGTACAGAGTCATCTTAACACAAGTACAAAAACAAACCAAAGAACATAACTAAAAAACAAAGAAGAAGAAAGAAAATAAATAAATAAAATGAGGATCAAGAGAGCAAGATATTCTATACAAAATTTTATAGTAGGACTAACCAAATTAAAGTCATTACAAAATAAAAGTGTTTTTATTGCTTTCTTATTTACTGAGGATGAGATGGTGTTAAGGTACATTTCAAACTCTTTAAAAAAAAAAAACTATAAAAATTGGTTTGTTGTTGGAGAATTTACATTTATGGATATAGAATTTCCCAATAAAATAAATTAAATTGGTAACAAAGCAGGCTTTTTTATCGGGATCAGAGTCAAAGTATCCAAAAATAATGTCTTTAAAGGTTACTGATATATCTTGCTGGATATTATCTTTAATAAACTTGTCAATAGGCTACTTTCCCATAGTTGTTTAGTATAGAAACATGACCAAAATAAATGATAAACAGTTTCTGTGTGAACTTGGCAAAATGAGCATCTTGTGTCAATATTACTCTTATATTTAATCATGAAATATTTAGCTGGGTAAAATGTATTTATTATTTTGAAGGATACTTCTTTAACTTTATTTGTTAAAAAAATATTTTTGTGGTAAGGACCGAATCTTTTCCAAATTTACATTTTTAAATAATCTACTCCAGTATGAAATTACAGGAGAAACAGAAACTATATCTAAGAAAGAGGGATCTAACTTTATTATCTCTATAATATTTATTATTCCTGAAAAACAAATAAATTCAGAATTCTACCTGGCTTCCCTTGTTTAATCCACAGCAACAGCAACACCAATCAACGATTGGTTGATTCAACGAAGACTTATCAACGATTGGTCGGCTACTAAGCTGCATACCACTTAATTAACCACACCCGTTTCTCACAGGAAAGGTGGCGGGTTTTCTACCTGCTGCTGATTGTTGTTAACAATCTTGATTGATTTCTTGTTCATTCAGAGGTATGTATGTTTAGTTTGATTTATGTTACAAAAGCTTGGATTTCAACTGATAATCGAATGATGTTTAGATGCATGAATCGTTTAAGCCTAATTAGAGAATGTTTTTGTTTTGTTTTGGGTTTTTTTTT